GTATGGGTAGCAGGATGGTGTGTGTCCAGGTTATAGACAAACAACCTAAATCCCACATGTCTCTTCTCTGTTTAGCTCTTTGAGAAAGGAAGCCTTTGTTTCAGAACCACCACCCCCCCCCGCCCCCGCCGCCACACATCCGTGGGAGGTGTCATCCAGAGAGCTGTTTAAGTCTTTGCGGTTCTCCTCGCCGCAGGCCGTGCTGCACCGCGTGAGTGAGGTCTGAGTGGTTCCTCTTTTGTGCACACGGAGACGGCGCAGGTAGAAGAGCGCCCGGAGGAGGCGCCCCGTCCTCCCCCCCACCGCGCTCGTGCTCATGCTCATCAACCATCCATACTGATGCTGTGAACACACGCCGTCATTGATCCTGTGTTTGAAAAGGTCTCTGCACATTCCTCACCACCGCAGAGACCTTTTCAGAGACCCCCTACCATTCCGCTTCTGAACGTGACAAGCTTGCTCCCCAGCTGCTCACGTCCTGCACGCCTCCAGGTCTGCACATTTTTTTACAAGTAGTATTATCTGTCAGTCACCGCCCTAGCAAGCAGTGGAAAGCTGAACTGAAACATCAACAACTCAGTCTGAGAGATCTGCGCGGGAATTCTGCTGCCACGGGAGTCACTGTCAGCCCTCGGCTTTCTGCCTGCCTGGAGAAGCCGTGATTGTCTACACAGGGATATCCCTTCTCTTAGGTCAGGTGCTTAGGTGAGACAAGGTCTGCAGACTAGACACCAGCTCCTAAGCACCTGACCTAGCACTGACACATTGCTGGCCACTCGTCTCTCAGATGTGCCCACACCAAGACTCGCGTTCCGGTGGAGCGCACTCACGCATGGGAGGACCCCGTCGTTGGGAGGACCCCAACGACCGGGTCCCCCGGGACCCTAGGAAAGGATCTTTCTCAGATACTGGCTGATCGCCTTCTGGAGCTTGACCAGGTGATCTTCAAAAGATCCCCCCGCTGAAAACGAGAGAGGAGGCTATCTGCCCACGGACCGCTCACAAGAGAAACCTCGATCGATCAACCTTAGCAGGTCGGGACGTGATTTACTAGTTTCCCCGGCCTGAGCAGAGAAAGATTCTCCACGCCCTCGCCCTCGGGTGGGACAGGACGGCCCCACTGGGCTGGAGCCGAGAGAGAGGGTGGGACGCAGGAGGAGGCTCTGCGCTTCAGCAGTCCTCCTGAGCCTCTGCCTCTGGGTCGAGGCCTCATCACAGGGCTAGAACGCTTCCCCTCAGCCCCCACTCCTCACCCCACATCACCAAAGGCCTACGGTTCCTTTTATCCAGGACGTCGCATTTGGCTCCCTCATCTCCTCTCCCCTGCTGGCCCCCCCCCAAAAAAAAAACAATTACGAGACAAACGGCGATTCCAATGTCACGGGCACGCCTGCCCCTGAGGCCTGCTCTCTTTCTCTCTCTCTCTCTGAGGTGTGCTTCTGCCTCGCTGTCTTCCCGCGACCACAGGTGGTCCCCGAGTACTCACGGTGCCGGAGGCTCCACTCGTGAACGACGCCGCTTCGGTGGATGCGAGAGCTACGCCGGGTATCCTCGGCAGGCGTGTTACCGTCTCTGCGATCCCACGTTCTCCGAGGCGGCCGGCCGGTAGATGGCGGGAGGCGTGGCGTCGAGAGGAGGGGTCAGGAGAGTGCCGTCGCGGCATGAAGCGCGAGGTCCTTCGGAACTCTGGGACACGGCTCGAGGTGGCGGCTCGAGCCGTCTTTCTGCCTGAAAATGCAAACCTCTTGGGTGATTTCAGGACGAAGATGCGTGCTGTCTGTCCCCGAATCTTCGGGGCAAGGCCGTGCAATGTGCCCCGGATGGGGTGACCCGAGGGTTTCACAGAAGACACGAGAGCGGCCTCCCCCTGCGAGGCCCCCGAGAGAGAGAGAGAGAGAGAGAGAGGAGAATGCGCGTGCTCGCTCACTCGCTCTAAGTCCTTCCTCCCTCGGCGGGGCACATGTCTGTCAAAGAGAGTGAGCGAGCACGCGCATTCTCCTAAAAGTCCTTCCTCCCTCGGCGGGGCACATGTCTGTCAGTCAGTCAGTTGAAAACATTTACCTGAATTAAGGCATCCTCCCCAGTTCAGTTTTTACTGCAGTTTGCTTTCAGGAATGAAACCTTCTCTTTATAATCCATGAATTGAAATTCTGAAACCTGGCTTTTCATCGCAGATGTGTAGAAACTTGGAATTTGAAATCGACTCTGGTCAGTCCTCCAAACTCTGGTCAGAGCTGGAATGCTGAGGACAGAATGGAGGACTGACCATTCTAACATATGCTAAATCTCTTGTGACGAGAGCATCCCTATGTGAGCCTCGCCCAGGACGGGCTTCGGTTCCCGGTGACATCACTAACTGCAGGCAGCTGGCACCCAGAGCGCACCACACGCTCGGCCTTTTGAGGGTGTAGCAGAGAGGGCCATCGGTACCGTGTTACCAGGGGATCGGGCACCTCCGAGCAAAAAAAACATCCTCAAAACCTCAGAAAATCCTCCAGATTTGAGAATGCTCAGTCGCCATCAACAGATGATTGCGTAGGAAGGGTCTTAGTTTCCCATATCCAGCATCAATCTTGTGTCGTCTTCACCGGGTGTGATTCCACAGGAAAAAGTGCTCACCTGGTCATGGGCGTTCCGGTGCCCTTCTCCCTCGGTGGGTCGCGTGTTTCACTGGAGCCGGTGTTCACAGAGAGAAACTGTGCACACAAAAGTCGATTTGAGTCACGAGAGAAAAAACCGAAATCACATGAACGAGTTCAAGACCAACTCGAAAGGACACGTAAGGAATCATCACTTCACGATTCTTGAAACTTGCGGACAGAAGCTATCGTAATTCCCCGATCACGATCACGATCGGGGAATTACAAGTCGGCATCTGTAAACGAGTCACGATTTGAAACGCAGGCTCGTGAACACTCCGACTACATTTTTAGACGATTTCCTTATCTGTGCCCGAAAAATTCATCTTTTCGGAGAAAAGGGTATATTTTAAAATAAATTCCAGAAGGACTTGTAGTCGTGTCATTTACACCTCGTGTATTGTACCAACATGTCAGTGTCTTTGAAATCGAGATTTCAAAGCAACCACGACAAAACTTAGCCTGCAAGCGTTGACTCACTTAACATATATGATTACATGGTATGCAACTAGCAATCCTGCTTTATTTCCAACATTATCCGTATTTGATCAACGAGGGTTCTCAACATATTTAACTTCAGTGTTCCGTATTATTAAATATAATACAAGTAAACGCAGGAGAAACAAAGGAACACCTGGTTGGGGTTCTGCGACATCGTCCTTCGGTCACAGATCCGGGATCGTCGTCTTCGTCGGGAAAACAGAACCTTCAACTGGTACTTCAACGGGAAGAAATGGGCCGCGTGAGATAAGCTGCTGGAGCATTCGAAGGGCTGCGGCTGGGGCTGGAGCTGGGGCTGGGGCTGGAGCAGCCAGCAGGGACACAGGAACGGAAAAGATCCTCAAGGGTTCGTCCCCGCGGTGCTCCGCCACCATCCTGGGCTCCGCGAGAAGGGAACGCGATGTCTGTGACCCGCACTCCCGTCCCGGCCGAGCGGCCGGATCCGCCGCCGCAGCTCCTCTCTCAGGGCCACGGCTGAGGACGGACGCCTCGCAGACATCCACGCCCCACTCTCCCGTCGCTAGCGCGGGCACCCCGGGGCCCGGGGCCCCAAGCTCGCCGAAGCCGTCGCTGGCACCGACAAGGCAGAGCGCCGCGTCGCCGGGGCGGCTGAAGCATCTGCTGCCGAATTTCCACTCACCAAACAGGCGCGGCTGGAAGCGGGCGGCCCGACCCCGGGTGCCTGGTGTCACACCTTTGACTGCTGCCGAAGCGTCTGTGACGGTGCTCGTGCTCTGGGTGGAGAGAGGCGAGAGCCAGTCGCAAAGGAAGTGCGGGTTTTGGCTTTTCCCTTCCTCTCTTCTTCTAATCACCTGTCACAGCCTCTGTCTCCCCGCGTCGGCCCAGCAGGGGCCAGCTGGCCGACGCGGGGAGACAGTCAGGCCGAGACATCTCAGGAAGGTCGCGTCTTCAGGCTCCAGCCCTCTGCGATACTCATCTGCACGTGCGCCCTCGGCAACGCTCGCTTCTGACAAAAGAGTCATCAGTTTGCCGTCTCGGCCCCGTCCCACCTCCTGCCACTGATCTGACTCAAGAAGGCAAATGTTTCTATGACGACGACCAAGCATTTTTTAAAGTTTTACAGAAATGACGTCGAGAACAGAAGACAGGAAAAGCCAACATATAAAACCCAGAGGAATCTATCAATCGGAATAAATTACCGGATAGCACTTACCCGGCTCAATGCACTCACGGAGGTGTCCTTTCGCTTTATCGCCGTGCCTTGCCGCTCTCTCCCAACTTCTCGAGCACAGTCGTGAAGAGGGCATTCCTCTCTGCCTTTGTCTTCATAGCATCTTCGTAGGAGCTGCTGAAAGCTCGATTTCTCATAAGCGGTTGCTCGATTCGTTTGAGACGTATTATGCACCTAGAACCGTATGAAAAGTGCAGTACGTCACGACCACTCGTGGAAGAAAACACTGGTAGCCTACACGCCATCTTAACAGAGAATGGAAAAGTTCTCAATGTACTGACTCCATAAATCTGGCAGGTTTGTTGAACACTGGCTGTTTGGATATGTGCTGTGGAGCCTTGTGATCCAAATTAGTGAAAGAACACACAAAGAAATGAGAAACGATGTTACCCGAGAGACTTCTTACCTCTCCACTTTTCATGCTTCTTCAGGAACAGTGCCACAATCTGTCCAGAGAATACAAGAAACTTACTCATATTGGTATTGTCCACGTGGTGGGATGTGGTCTTCTACCTCCAGAATTTCTGTCGGTTTGTTTGCTTGTCTTAGAACCCAAGGAGCCATGATTTTCTAGAGCAGCAGGGCCCGTATACAGGAAAAAAGCAGGAAACAAAGACATAGACACTGCCTTGGAGAGTGCCTAGATGTCAATTTCTAGCCGATTCCAATATAATTCTTTGCCAACTGAATCGGTCTCCAGAGTGGCTCCGTATCCCT